TTCTGAAAATATGTGTTTCCGAAAATCCTTGTATCAGTGCACATGCCTGGAGCTGTGTTTGGAGCGACCTCGCACCGACTTATATCCCGCTCGGGATTACCACTTACCAGCCCAGAACATTTCGTTCCACAGCTCATTCGATCCACATTTTTTTGCGAAATAATACGCTTATGGAGGGGCTGCATACGGGGGCTTCGCATTTCACCGCACAGTCTTCTTCCCTCTGTATTTGTTTAGCGTGCTGAAAAATGGCGAAGGTGGTTGCGGCGCAAGTTAACCGCGTTGTGGACTCGTTGGAGTCATTCAATGCCCAGTGGGAGCCAGCACTGGCACGAAGCATCCAGCAAGTGGAGCATGTATGCCAGGAACTGCTCGACGATGATGATCCGGAGGCAGAACTATCAATAACCGGTCAAGTGGTGCTTGAGCAGTGCATGGATAAGCTGAATGCCACGTTGGAGGAGGTGTGTTTGTAAGTAGAGCGTATTCCGGGATGGGAACATTGCTGCAGTTAGCACTTACCATTGATAGGCATCGTTATTCACGTCCAGTTCTTGTAGCATCAGTGAGCGATTTAGGAGAGGGAGAGAGAGGGAAGTCTCATGTGAGTGTAATCTTCGCTCAATTTAAGATGGCCTATCAGCATCGAAGCACGCATCAGATGTTGTCGAAGATTGGCAAAGATATCGACCAGACGTTCATTCCCGATTTAGCCTGTTTCATGAAAATAGAGAAGAATTTTGATGGGAATGCAGAGTTGCAGTCCCGAGTGAATGCTCTTATCATCAATCATCTGACAAGCACCGGGAAGTTCGACGTCGCCGACATCTTCAGACAAGTATAGCCTTTCTAAGCTTTAATTGTTGGCGCAGTGAAGTGGAGTGCACGTTGCGGGATTTACAGGAAGCTGGGCTGGGTGATTCGAATACTCCTGGCTTCAATGTTGATCAGATTCGACATATCATGGGTGCGTTCCAGCAGAAAAATATTGCTCCGGCACTTGAATGGCTTTTGGAGTATGCTCCCTGTGAGGAAGAAATGATATACGATCTTCACAAGCAGCATTTCATTGAACTCCTGGAATCTGGTATGGCTAACATTATCATGGCTAGAAATGGGGGAGGGGGGATGCTGACGATGTTGTTTTTGCACGTGGAGCAAGCTCTTGTTTTTAGGCCGCAATATGGAGGCGCTGCAGTACAGCCGCAACTTAACAAAATGTCCCGATGAGCTAATGGAGCTGATGTGGGCGCTGGTTCGGAAAGATCGTAAACAGCGTTATCCAAAACTGTTCAATGCAACCACTTGGCAGCAGCTCGAGTTGCGGCTCGCGCAGATATTGTCACGCTCGGAAACCCATCTGAGCGAAATGTTTGTGTCCTTCTTTGCCGCATACTTTCGCAAAACGTTTCTTCCTT